GACTGACATTTACGAAATCACGGCATTTACATGGATAACATTTAACAAATCGTAAATCGGTAAATATTTAGGTTTTTCGGTTTTGTTATTTCTCAGGACTTGTAGCAACTGAAGGGTGGGGCTGCAGCCCTCACAATAATTCGCTAATAATCATTCTGTTTTCAAAATCATGCACACGTTTATCATTTAAATAATATACCTTTACAATACTGACAATTGATTAATTTTAAGCGGCTACCGATTATCCATGACAAACCGCAAAAAATCATATTACCCAAACTCTTTCCTGCAACTTCCCCAATATATAGTTCATTAAATACGCCTTTGCCCATTTAGTTCTACTAAATTGTAAGCAAATTGTAAATTTCGACATACTAAAACGCTGTTTTCTGACCATCATAATTTTGTCAAAACTTCCCCCAAAGTCCAGGAAATGGCATTTCAGAGACTCCATATTTAAAAATTTCCTCGGGCCTTCGGCCCTCGTTTTCAACCCCCCAATCAAAAAGAGCTCCCTACGACACCGCATGCTTCTGTAATATGTCTGTGCGTAAAACATGCGTATTTTTGTTTGTAAATTGCGTCTTCATTTTCTGGACAGCAAACATCTCCGTTGCTTCGTACGTCATGAAATATTCGGAAATTTTTTTCGTCATTCGGAAATGTTTGGCCTACCCCCCCCCCCCAACTATAGATGCTAGCTACGGCCCTGGTTGCAGTGGATTTATTCGGACCAAGCCATCATCTAAACATGTGGTGGTAGTACAAGACCTAGCGTCAAGATACCCTGCAGCAAAGTTAGTCACATCAACAAAGGCAGACAAAGTCATACCAGCCCTGACAGAAATTTACGAAACATACGGCAACCCAGATGTACAGACCTCAGACAATGGTCCACCATTCAACAACATTCAGATGCAAAACTTCGCCAAGACCAAAGACATCAAGTTACAGAAATCACCACCACTACACCCCTCCTCGAACCCAGTCGAAACCTTTATGCGGCCCTTGGGCAAGGCTATGAAAACTGGGCGTCACACCGGTATTCCCGAAAAAGAAAGCCTAAAAAAATGTGTTGAAAAACTACAGACAGACACCTCATCCGGCAACCAATCTTCCACCGGCAGCTATGATTTTCCGCCATGGACAACGCCTGGACTTTCCTAGAAGACACGCAACAGACGAAGAGATGAGCAGGGCACGAGAAGCAGACCAGAAGAAGAAAATGGAAAATGAAAGTAAAGTAAACGGCTCCAAGTACCGGAAGAAATCTCATTTCATAATCGGCGACAATATCCTGATTAGAAACTACAATAAATCAAGAAAGTTTGACACTCTCTCCCTCCAGGAAGCGTTCAAGATCATTGATATGAACAGGGAGGGAAACATAGTCACGGTACAACAAGAAGGAAGCGGTCTCACCTTGTGTCGTCACCCGGATGATCTCAAACCTTCGAAAAGTCGACCGGACAACCGCGAAGTGAAACTGGAGTGCATGCAGTACGCCGACATCCAATGGCCAGAAGTAATTGAGCACGATGACGACGACGAGAGCTACTGCCTGGAAAAGAGAGATACAGCACCACCGCCTAGATTAAGTCAACGGAAACGGACGACCATTCCAGTTTACAAATAAACACGAATGTTTACGAACAGTATTCATTTGATCTATTTGTGATAGGGGATGATGTATATGTATATATTGTGTTAATGTTGGACAAAGCGGGACATCAGGAGCGATGGGGGATAGTTAAAAAGAGCGGGAAAGGACGGGAAAAAAAAGAAACATTACATTGTATACTATGGGTTGATATTATTAAAAGAAACGAACAAACCAGTTTATATTTCCTGGGGAATAGATTTTCTGTGGTTCAATGCATAGTACCCTAGATGCTCAATTACCGCAAAACGTTCCCAAGCAAAAAACTTGCCAATCCCCAAGAAAATGGGCGATCAGTGTTATCCTCTATTAAATTGTATTACAAGAAAATGTGAAATTTTATATTCAGTTACATGAAAAATGACTAGCATCATCAGAAAGCTTACAAAAACCTACATATAAGACATTCAAACAGTTTTTTTATATCTCAAGTTGTTTTCGAGTTATACGCTGTCAAAAACGCATTTTTGACCTAGTACCCAGTCCTTATTGCAACATTTTGGTCCAATTTTCACATTTAAGACAGCAACAACTCAAAGACTATTTGAAGGATAAAAAAATGCGCAAGTCATTTTTGTTGTAATTGAATACAAAATTTCACATTTTCTTGCTGTAATACAATTTAATAGAGGATAATCACTGATCTACTGATGATCACCCATTTTCTCGGTGTTTGGCAACTTTTTTGCTTGGGAACTTTTTGTGGTAGGGCATCTATGGTACTAAGCATTGAACCACAGAAAATCTATTCCCCAGGGGGGTGCCACGAAGCGAAATAATTTTGGCCAACGGCCCACAGCCTATTAAGGCCGATTTCCATTCAGTGCAAAATATCGTGCAAATAATTATTAAACTATATGAGGGAGCATTCATTTTTTAGCTGGGGGGGGGGGTGGGCCGGAGGAATTTGGGAGTGGGTCAGCAAATTTTGACATGCTTCAAAGGGGTGGGTCTTTTTATAGTTTTGGTATAAATGGAATTTAATTTTATAGAATTTGGAAATATTTGGATGAAGAATGGTAAAAAGGTCTAGAAACTATCAACTATCTCGTCATCTTTAACAAAGAAGCAAAATTTCGTTTGACGCTCTGTTCACACAGTCCATAGGAAAACATTTCCATGACGTTTGTCAATTGACCTCGTTTTTATCCGTTTTTGTGTGAAAACATGATTGAAAGAAAACGCAGGACCGTAGCATGATTTCAAAACCATGCATGGTTTCAAGGTCTGCATGTATTTCATCATGACCTTTATCAATTTTAAGCTAAATTAATTTTAAGCGGCTACATTATCCATGACAAACTGCAAAGAATCAAAGATAGTACGCACAGTTTCCTGCAACTTATCCTAGTTATCCAATATATAGTTAATTAAATACGCGTTCGCCCATTTAGTACTACCAAATTGTCAATTTCGACATACTAAAACGCTGTTTTCTGACCATCAGAATTCTGCCAAATCTTCCCCAAAGTCCAGGAAATGGCATTTCAGAGACTCTAGATTTAAAAATTTCCTCGGGCCTTCGGCCCTCGCTTTCAGCCCCCCCAATCAAAAAGAGCTTCCTACGGCCCTGAAACGCTACGGAAACGACACCGTGTGGATTATTAATAGTTAGGATGAGGGGTCAAAAAATTTGTCAAAAAAATAGGGGGTCATAATTTTTTTATCAACTTTTCTCTTGGGGGTTCCAAGTTTTAGCATGGAATTAGACATCAGTTCCTCCGGCCCACCCCCCAGCTAAAAAATGAATGCTCCCTAAGTTGCTGTATTATTGCTGTAGTTTTTAAAGCGCTGTTTATTATGATAGTTGGTAAAAAAATCGTAATTTTCCTTTTCGTATATTTATGTAGTTTTCAAACGTTCAGAAAAAGTGTTAGATGTAAAGTGTAGTTAGAAAAATTTCTAAATACAGCTTACTGTATTTAGAAATAATTCTAAAGATAAATATATTTGCATAATCATTTGTTTACCCCTCAATTCCCCTATTGTTCAAAGCCCTTCCCACTTGAAGTAATTAAAGTCCTGGTCTAGACGGGGTATCCAGATTAGATACACGTGATCTAAATTACACCATGTCATTGGCCGAAATGGTATGAATATCTAATGATGTGTGAGAATAAATAAGTCGAAAGCCTAATTACTGTAACGACATTTTAATAATTCAAATAACTTAAATATGCTCTTTTTATTGGCTAGAATAATGACCCTCCCCCCAATCAAACCCCGTTCAAAAAACCCACCGGTAAATTTGGTGCGCTGCAAGTGTGAAAAGTCCTTTCCAGCGTACATACGAATCGCAAAAAAAACTGGAAAGGGCTTTGGGAAAGTCTAAGGTCTTCATATATAACTTCAAAAGTTCTTTCAAATAAGACAAAGTTAATTTTTATTGCCATATCTCTTTAACTGTTTTGTTATATAGCGACGAAGGAAAAATCAACAACATTCATGCAACAATTGTCTTTCATGACAAAAACTCCATAGTGTAAACAAGTTTAAAATTAAAAGAACCTACTAGCATATCCTGTTGCCTATTGTGTATTTTTCTTTTCTTTTACATTTACATTACACAAATTTGGAAGTCGTAGTTGTAATAACCTGACGTCATGTACTTATGTGACGTCACTTGTATATAGCCAGCATTCCATTGATATTAAATTCAGTATTGTTATAACCACTCAAAGAGCGTGCCTCGTATTATCGTACTATAAGAATAGTGCAGTATATATAGTTTATAAACTTGCGAGTTGTGTAGTCATTTTGTATTTGTGTTTATTTGCAGTACGTACGTAGCCAGTCGGGGCGGTAACTATTATTCACTTGTTTTTGTTTGTGGAAACACTACGTAAATTTGAATTTTTTCTGTGCTGGTGTTGTGTACTCAGGTGAATAATATGTTTGTGATGTTACTCTGAGTGCATATCCACACCGGGCGAGCTCGAACCGTCCTGACCGCGTAGCTCAGTTGGAAGAGCATTGGGCTAGTATTCCAAAGGTCGTAGGTTCGAATCCCACCGTGGCCGGGCATATTTT